AAAATACATCAGAATAAATTGAAACAAATTAAAATTCATTGAAATTAATTAAAAATCATTAAAATTTATTGAAATTAATTGAAATTAAATTAAATTAATTGAAATTCATTGAAATTAATTCAAATTAGTTAAAATTAATTAAAATTAATTAAAATTAATTATACTGAATTAAAATGAATTAAAATTTATTAAAAAATTAAAAATTAATTAAAATTATTGAAAATTAATTAAAATTACTTAAAATTAATTAAAATAGATTAAAAATATTTACAAATCAATTAAAAATTAATTAAAATTAAACAAAAATTAATTAAAATTAATGAAAATTAATTAAAATTAAATAAAATTAATTAAAATTAGCAAAAATTGACTAAATTTAATTCATTTTAATTAATTTTAATTGATTTTCTGCTTTTTTGTTAAATCTAATTCATTCTATTTAATTTTAATTGTTTTTAATAAATGTTCATCAATTTTACTTAATTTTAAATTCTTCATTTTAAATGGCTTTAATTGACTTTAATTAATTTTAATTATTTTTCATGATGAATTTTAATTCATGTAATTTCCTTTAAATTCTGTTTAATTGATTCTAATTAAGTTTAATTAATGTGAATTAATTTTTTTGCTTTACATATTTTTCATTTTAACTAATTGCATTTTTGAATACTTTGATTTTTTTAAGTACTTTTAAATAATTTCTCTTAGTTGTAATTAGTTTTTCATCAATATTAACTACCTTGAATCAAGCCCAGCGGTGTGTCTGACACCTAAGTTCTAAGCCCTGAACAAACCCCTCCCTGCATCCCCAAGAACCTACCTACTGCTTATGGGCTATAAACCCAAAGCCCCAAACCCTAAAACCCTGAACCGACAGCGCCTCCTCCGAAAGCCGCAGCGCAGCCAACTCTGCTTCGAGCTTCTGCACCTGCTGTTCAGGCACTTTGCTGCTAATTGCCGTTGTTCTTATGTTCTGTTGCTATTGCTACTTCTGCTTCTACTATCATTATTGTTGCTATCAATACCATCATCAGCATTGAAGCTCTTGCTGCCAGACAAATCCAGGCACCCAGGATTCCCCGACCTCTGAAGGGTGTATACCCCAGATCTCGGGGGGTAGTAGAACCTAGGAGTTTGTGGCTCTAGACCCTAAATTCAAGGCGTACAAGTAGGGCTGAGACGTGTGAGGGCGCGCCGGTCCTGTGGCCACAAGTATGGGTACGACCACAAAAGAGATGCAGGCTCAGGCAAGAATTAGTTCGGAACAATACTCTGCTCCTTGTAAGCTGGACTAGGTCGTGAGAAGATGGTTCCTGCTGCCTGGGGGCCTAAGCTGAATCAAGCCCGAAATCCTGGACTCCCTGAAACCCCAAAACTCAAGACCACAGAACCCCGAAGCCCGGAAGCCCCTCCCTGAGCAGGGGGCTCGATCTGAACCCGAAGTCATGGGCAAGTTTCGGGTGCCTCTATGTCGTCACTGCATTGCCCTTGCTGGTTTAGGGTATAATGAAAGCTCTGTGGCGCCGCCTTGAGCATGCTCTGCTCCTCCACCTGCCGAGCAGATTTTTCGTCGGCGTTGGGGAAGCAACTTATCTTGATACCGGGCCACCCACAACCCGGCCAATTTGCAGGGTACAACCCCCTAAATACGGTGCCTCAGGCCCATGGCTCACAAACTAGGGCCGAGGGTGGAGAGGCTTCAGGCTTTTTGTGTGTATATTGCTCTTGCCCCACATCACGACTCATACTCCGCTTGTAGCTGTTCAGGTCGATGCGTTTGCTTACAAGTGCGGTGCTTGGGCTCAAGGCTAAGAGGTGCTTGGGTAGTTCAGTGGGCTTAAGCTTTCCGGGCTTTGGAGCAGCAGGCCCATGGGTGTGAATTGCAGGGGCACTTTACAACCAGGGAGGTCAGTTGCAGTGATGACTGTGTTGCACGATGAACTATTTTACGTGTTAAGTCTCTGACTTACAGCCCTTGCTTACAATAAAACCAACAACCTCCAAGTGCCCCACATGGCGTCCGCCACTTTAGAGATAAGACGGCGAGTGTAACAAAAGAAGCTGCAGCAAGAAGGCAGCTCAAAAAGCTCAAACTCATTCAAGTTGAAGTCGAGCCAATTCGGGTTTCAGAAGCATGGCTCTCAAAGCCCCCTAAATACTAAACCCTAAACCCTAAACCCTAAACCCTAAACCCTAAGCCCTAAACCCTAAACCCTCCTCCTTCTGCTCCCTTCTCACGGGAAGCCTCGAGGCCGACCTCGGCCACCTGCTCCATCTCGCCCTGGCGATGCTATGGACTTTGGGTTCGGCTTTCAAGGTCTGAGGGTTTGAGGGTTTGAGGGTTGTCGGTGTGCTATTCTCTTTATTGTTCTTGGGCGGGAGGCGGGGGGGGGGGGGGGGTAGGGCTTAGGAGTTTCCGCTTTGGGGTTCCGGGCTAAGGGCCTATCTGCAGGAGCCCCGAAAAACCTGAGCGTCAAAGCTTGACGATGGGCGTCGGTCAAGGCTGTTCTGTCCGGGTGTCTAGCTGTATGCCCCTGAGGGAAAAAATGCAAGCCCTATAATTAATAAGCCCCAAAACGACCTTATAGACGTTTCGGCCCAACACAGCTAAGCCGTTAGCAGCAACTAACCCAGCTACAAAGAGACTGCCAGCGCCGGCAGAGATTCAGTGGACCTGGCTTGCGGCACTGCCTGCAAAAGCCCATAAGCCTAGAAAGGGTATGGGGCTTACGGGATCTTTTCGGGTTTATGGGGCTTCTAGGGCTTGTTATGGATTACCAGGCTTTGGAGAGCTTGCAGGGTTTGGAGGACTAGTGGGGACCCTGGATTTCACACCCCTGCATTTCACAGCACTTTAGTAGGTACGACGGGGGTCACACCGTCTCATGAAACGCCGCCACCTTGCAGTTGGCATTGAAGCCCTACAGTGCCTTTGAGAATTCCCAGGCGACTTCTGTTGAGAGTGGCACGAGCGAAATCATCAACATGTGCCACTACATCAACTGCTTTGCAAGCCTGCTGCACAACTCAGCAGCTAGCAACATGCCAATCCCCGCTCATCTCTGAGTTCCCATAACCGCATAGCAAACACCTTAGAGCCAAAGGCCCCCAACGCGTCCGGCCTCCAGAGTCACCTGGCAAGAGGTTCTACCAGAAAGTTAAGGGTTAGAGTTTGGGGCTTAGGTTGGGGCTTAGGGTTTAGGGCTTCGGGTTCAGGGTTCAGGGTTTAGGGTTTAGGGTTTAGGGTTTAGGGTTTAGGGTTTAGGGTTTAGGGTTTAGGGTTTAGGGTTTAGGGTTTAGGGTTTAGGGCGGGTTTAGGGCGTCTTCCAGGGTAGCAGCAGGTAGGACTGTATTCCAGAACTCTCCAACAGCACCACCCGCCGTCCTACCAAGAAAGGGTGTTATAGGCTACCGGGAATCGCTGCTAGCCATATCAATCCACACTCACCCAAAAAACATTAAAGGAACCCTCTCCAAACAACCTCCCCGCTACCGGGAAACCTAGAAACCGAGAGCCCTAAGTAAACCCGACGCCGATGCGCACTCCTCGCTGTGGCGCATGTGCTTGAGACACTAATTGGCTGAGGCCTTCAGGCCTTCAGGGCTTTCGGTTTAGGGGATTAGGGTTCAAGGGTTGCGGTTTCGGGTTCAGGGCCCCAGGACCCTCAAAAAATCCGCGAAACTCGCCTCCAGGTTGCGGAACTGCGCATCCACCTGCGCATCGGCCTGCCGACAGGGCCCCATCCATTGCTCGCTTTTCCCATATTTAGGGGGGGCACATCTATATCTGCATATCCTAGTTTGGGGGCTGACTATACTGGAGCCAGTATGAATTGAACCATCCCCCAAAACATTGGTTTATCACGGGGTTTGCTGTTTCTTTTGGAGCTATGCACCTGCCCCCCGCCCCCCCCACACACGAACCAGGGGGAGCCAAGAGGCCCTGGAGGCCCCATGGTACATCATGTTAGAGAATTGGGCTCGTACATCATCGACACAATGGGGCAGCTTGGGGCGTGGCCGAATCACGGGGATACTTGCTATCCCTTTGCCAGTGACGAGTTTGCTTCTTTGAAGGTTTTGATGCAACGGGAAACAGCAACATGTTTCTGGACATCGATCGGTCAAGTGGGGTTTAGGGTTTAGGGCTTGGAAATTGGGGGCTGCAACCCTTTAGGCAAGGCTTCTAAGGTTTCAAGGGTTGAGTCTGTGGCTTCCTAGGTACCCCAACAAGCAACGGGTACCCTGCTTTGCCCGAAATCTGGAAGGGAATGGAACTAAGCCCTGAACTGCTTAAACTCCTTAACCCTCTTAAGGCTCGACATCCTAAACCTTTCTGAGATCCCCTCAACCCTGGACCCTAAAATTCTTTACCTAAGTCCCCTAAGCTCCCGAAGCTCCCGAAGCTCAGGCCTCAGCCTGGGCCTCCGCGGCCTCCTCCGCAACCAAGTGCGTCTGCCTGCGAGGGTTCAGGGCTTGCTTCGGGTTCAGGGTTTAGGGTTTAGGCTTCAGGGTTTAGGGTTCAGGGTTTTCAGGGTTTTCAGGGTTTAGGGTTGAGGCCCTCGGGTTTTTGGGTTTTGAGTAAGTGGGGGTTTCAGGGAGTTCGCACATGCAAGCTGTAGGGTACAGGGTAAGGGCTTGAGGCTTGTGATAGGAGCTGAGATAAGAGCTGGTGCCATAAGAGTTCATAAGGGTGTGACAAAGGGCTGAGACAGAGGCATGTAACGGCTGCCACGGGTTCAAACCGGGGTTTGAGAGTCAGGGCTTGGGGCAAGGGTTTGGGGATGTGTGTGGGTTTGCAGTGCTTCAGCATGGAACCAAGAAGTTGTTTTGGCTTCGTTATTGCCCCGAATGTGTGGGGTGTGAGAGCCTACAGGGGGGGGGGGGGGGGGGGGCAATGAGATCGCGAGCAGGCCCTGACTAAAGACGGAGATGTGCATCGTCAACTAATTATCAACTATCCTTTTTAGAGTCTGCTTTCGGTGCATCATCACTTGACCTCAGAAGGTCTTGGGCTCGAAGCGCACATTTTTCGTCCGCTCGCAGGCGCTTGCATGGCGGCTCGGCGGTAGCCTGCGCTTCCGACACGAACTCACTGGATCACTGCGTGGAGTTGATGGTTAAGGGCTGGGGAGCACAAGGCATGAGAGATGGTCTTGAATGTCTTGAACCTAAGCTCTAAGCCCTAAAAGGTTCATGGGATTTGCTGAAACTTCCGTGAGCTGAGGATGTCAAAGCTGGGACTCCGGGACGTTCGAGACCCTAAACCCTACACGCAATCCAAACTACAGGATTGAAGATGACTGGAGATACCATGAACCCCAACCCCGAGGCCTGAACCTGGAGATACCATGAACCCCAACCCGAAGCCTGAACCCCAAACCTCCAGCCCCAAACCCTTAACCGAAAATTCACCCTCAAACCCCGTAACCCCAAAGCCCCAAACCCTACATTGCCAAAACTGCAAACCCTAAACCTTCAAGCGGGTTTAAGCCTTCAAGCCCTAAACCCTCAGCCCCAAACCTAGGATGGCCCTTAAAACTCTTTGAAAAATATTCCTAAATATGATCCTCTTAAACCCAATGGGAGTATAAAATGTCCCAAGGGCCTACCTGGAAACCCTCAACACTCGACCCTGCCACCGAAACCGCCTTGGGAGAGGTCTCGGCCCTGGCACGCAACGCCGCAGAGAGCCGCCGCAGCGTCTGGCGCCTGAAGGAGGGGACTTTTGGGGGGTGGCGTTTTGGGGGTTGAGGGTTGACAGGCTCCATAGGGTTGAGGGCTTATTTGGGTGTTTGTTGGAGCTTGGGGTTTAGCATGTCGGCATATGCATTTCTGTTGAGGGCTTAGGCCCTTTGGTTCAGGGTTTCTTGGGTTTGGGGCCTTTAAAGGCTTGGGGCTTCGAGGGTTGGCAGGGCCTGCAAGGCAACCCAGGCAAAAATGCCCCCGAACCTGGAGCACTCCCAAAACCTAGTCCCAAAAACCCTGGAAAGCCCTCGGCTCCCCCTAAACCCCCTTAAAACTTCCTTAAGTTTAGGTAAAGATTTATGGCTTCGGGTTTAGGGTTAAGGGCTTAGGGCTCTTAAACCGTAAACCCTCAACCCTAAACCCTAGCCCAAACCCGCAAGCCGGCGAGGCGCTCGGACACCCGGACGCGCAGCGCATTCACCCGGCGCAGCAAGGCCTGAGACAGTTTGGCTGAGGGCGCCTTGAGGGGTTGAGGGCTCAGGTTCAGGGTTCAGGGTTCAGGGTTCAGGGTCCAGGGTTTAGGGTTTAGGGCTAGTTTAGGGTTTAGGCTTTGAGGGTGTTGAAGGGGTGTTGAAGGGGCGCTGAAGGGCGTTGGAGGGTGTTGACGGGCGTTGTCTTTGGCTTTCGGATTTCTCAGCCCTTAAGAAAGTGGCGCCTATTCACGCAGGCATTCTTGCTCTAGCTGGTGGCACAGCATTGTTCTCCCCAAGAACCTGCATCTCAGCAGGCCTCAATCGTTTGGCTGCCTTTGAATCCTAAAAGTCCTCAATCCCCTAAACCCTAAGCCCGAAAACCTCCAAGCCTCTATCCCAAACACTACGAACCTCGAGCCCAAGTCCTGGAAACTCTGGAGGCTTGGGAATTTAGGCTTTGCGGTTGAAGAACTCCAGTTTGTTCCTCACGTGCGGCTTGAGGGTTTCAGGGCTGTCGGGGTGCCGATGGGATCATGGGGTTCATCGGGCTCGGGAAGTCGAAGATATTTGGGTTCAGGGTCTTTGTTTTTGGGGGGGGGGGGGGGGGGGGGAGGACTTCAGGCTCAAGGACACAATCTCAAACCAACCCCGCGAGAATGTCAGGCGCGAGGCGATTGGTGTCGTGTGCGACCTGCAACGCGCTGTGGCCCCCGACGTTTAGGAGAGGCGCCTACAGAATTTCTCTCTTTTGAGGGGCTTGGGGCGAGCTTAGGGCTTTTCAGGGCTTTCAAGGGTTGTAGGGGAATTTGTCCTAATGTTTTGGGGGGATCTCCAAGCCCCCGGCCCGTGCTCTGTAGAGGCCAGCGCGGCCTCGGCACCTCGCAGCGCCTCGGGAAGGTTCCGAGTGGCTTCGGGGGTCTTTGGGGTTCAGGGGCTCGAGGGGTGAAACTTGGCGAAACATGCAGATGAAGACTTCCTCTAAAATGGAAGAAGGTTCCAGGGATACGGGCCACAAAAAAACAGACCCCTCCGTCCTGCTCTCAATGTTTACGGAACGGGTAAGGGGCTCAGGGCTTAGGGGCTCAGAGCTTTGGGGTCTTCGGGTGGCAGGGTGTGCATCGCGGCTGCGGCCTGGGGATGTGGAGGAAGCCCTCACTTGGAGGATGCTCTGAATCTGGGTCAGCACGAAAGCGGCAGGACTTCTCATGCCCAACAATAGCTGTGCAGGGGTTTATGGTTTAAGGGTTTAGAGTTTTGGGTTCAGGTTTGCGCCCTACACTAGCCCTAAAGCCCGAAAACCCCAAAACTCCCAAAACTCCCAAAGCACACAACCCCAGATGGCGATCGTCTAAACCAGAACAACCTGCTGACATCGAAACTCCCCACAACCTGCGTGCCTTGCAGTCGAAGTCCAGCGAAGTGGCGGCGTACCGCGGCGCCACGCAATCTGAGCAGGGTTCAGGGTTCAGGGCACTTAGAGCTCAGGGCCTGATTTGAGGGCCTTGGGAGATGAAGCTCAGAAGCCGGGAGAGCGCCGATTCCCCGAAGTGCAACGAGACTCCCGAAAACTCAAAGGCTTTCGTGATGGCGTGGAGAGCTCTTGTACAACACGGATCCCTTGATCTCCGATTCGGGAACCCGAAATCGACGTTTTGGTCTGGGCGCGTCCGCCTTCGAGGGCCCGCAGCACGCAGGAGGCCACGCGAGCGCGGAGCGTGGCCGCCTGAATGGCATGGAGGGGACTGGGAGTTTGATGTTCGCAGGGGGCGGGCCAGGGAGGGGGAGGGCTCTTTGATTCTCAAGGGTACAACGCGCGTGACAACGAGAGCTTCCACCCAAGGCTTTCTCTTGCTTCTCGCCAAGCTGCGAGACGTTCCGGGGCGCTTCCAGAGGGTCAACTTAAAGGTTCAGGGAGAGTTGTAGCTACCCTAGATAGGGCCAGAATACGGGCACTCAGCAGGAGCTGTTTACTGGCAAAGCCACGCGTGAGTACCCATGAACCTCCAAGTAGGGGTCAACTACGGTCTTCGGTTCTGGGCTTCGGCTCCGGGATCAGCTCCTGATTACAGTCGGTGATCGAGGACGGCCCGCCCTGATGCCACCCGGTTTTGGGCTTATGGCTTCGGGTACGTAGAAGTAGGAGTCAGGGTTTAGGGTCGAGGGTTTGCGGGTAGGTTCAGCACTTCTTGGGCTTCACTCTTCCCCCAGGAACCTCAGCAGAGTCCTGTGTCCAGAGGTCGTGGACGCCGCCAGGTCCTTCGAGTGCAATCATGAAACCCAAAGCCCCAAACCCAGAACCTTCAAACCCCTAACATCGAGGAAACGCTCTGAACCCTAACCCGGCATTTAGGGTCTTAGGGCTTAAAGGCTCTCCTGAATTTTAGGCTGGGGGTACGCGTACTGCATGAGGTGGACAACGGCAAAGGCTTGGGGGAAACCTGCTCATAGGTCCTAAACCCCCACCAAGCCTTCAAGCCCCTTAAGTCCCATGAACGCCAGTCCCGTAACACCCTTATCCACCGAACCTCACTGAACCCATCGGCCCTGAAACGGGCAAAAACCCTATGCCCTAAACCCTAAACCCTAAACCCCTAACCCCATCTGCCTTCGCCGTTCTGCAGAAGGCCCTGCCATCGTTCCTCCAATTTTGTTGGGGGCGGGGGGGGGGGGGGGGGTAAACTCAAGGAGGCGCCCTTGTAAGGTCATGTAGGCGGGATGTTATGGGGCTTGGGGTTTAGGGTGTTGGGTTTTAGGGTTTAGGGTCTGGGGTTTCGGGTGTTCGAGACCAAGGAGGTTCCGGGTTCGGGAGCACAACAACAAACTAAGCCGCCCAGTCGTTATGTGCCGAAGCATCCCCAAACCAGCCCTGAGGAAGCCCCCACTGGCTCAAGCCCGAACCCAAAGCAAACAAGCCTTCAAGCCAAAACTCGAAAAAATGAGCCTAAACCTGACACCCCGAACTTTGAAACCTGAAGCCCTACATCCCAAAGTCTGGGTTTGGAATTTCACCACAGACCGGCAAACACATAAGCTCACCCAAACCCTAAATCTTACACCCTAAGCGCTAAAACCTAAACACCGAGCCCTAAACCCTGAACCCCAAGCACAACATCGATACCCGGCCTCTGGGAGCAGCAGCCCCGCCAGCAGCGTCACTGCCCGAGAGGGCACGCCGCGCCTAGCGGCTTCAGGGTTTTGTACGGCATTTTTTTAAGGGTTTGTTACGGATATTGGGTCTTTCAAAGGGTTGAGGGTTGTTTTTGTTAAGGGTCTGTAGGCTTCTGTGTGAGGTCTGTGCTTGCTGCGGGCTCAGGCTCAGGGTGCAAACGACTTGGGGCTTTGATAGGGCTCAAAGTCTGCAAGGTGCCTAGGATAGAACACCCACCACATATGGACTTGGCACGTCTGGCAGGGTTAGGGCTGCAGTTGAAACAACCCAAGTCGGGTTGAGGCAGATGAGTTCGCGCTGTACCCTGGAACTGGTGCCCCGAATAGAGAACCTGCCATGTATCTCAGCATATCTCAGCTGTTCTTCGCCGACTTCAGCACCCCCCTTTTTGCACTTAGGCAGGGATCCTGGGCTAGGTGGCAAGTAACCTAAGAGGAACCCTGAATGAGGGAAGCCGCATCACCCGCAAGAGGATTTTGGGGCTTAGGCCTTGGGGCTTCGGGTCATAATGTCCGAATTCTTTTAAAACAATCAATTCCCCAACCCTACGCCCTAAACCCAAGGTCTGGTGGCCCCAGAGGGCGTTGGCAATCGGAGGTGGGGTGTCGTGTTTTTGGACACTTCGACTGTGTATTCTTTGCGGTTTAGGAGCCCGACATCCCAAATTTTATCAACCATGAAAGAACAAAACCTTACCTCCATCTCTGACAGCTGGGGAGCAATACTGATCTAAGCCTTTGCCGGCCCTGCCCCACCCGCGAGGGCCCCACCCCAGCAGGGGCGCTGCAGCCGAGAGCTTCACCTCACACTCAACACCCTCAACCATCCCAAAACCCTAGACCCAAAACCCTCACACGCGGGGCACTAGGGCTTTCGGGTTCATGTTTTTAGGTTTTTGGGGAGGCTACTTCTGGGTTGAGCCCTACAGCAAAGCAACCCATGCCACAACCTCCAGCTTCATACTGCAAGGGTTTGGACTTAGAGCTTTGAGGGTCTGCGCCAGGAAGTCAGACGTCAAAGAGCACAAGACAAGCAACACATATATCTCCGCCCGTATGTATCTCCTCCCATATATGGCCGTTCTAAACATATGACATAATATGAATGGAACACCACAAAAGGGGCTCATCTTCGAACAACCCTCATATGTTTAGAAGAAGACGTCCAGACCCCCCCCCCCGCCAGGGGGTTAAGGTTTAGGGCGTAGGATGGCCTCGAATCCATCTGCAAGATCTCCCATCCTTGCCGACAGCAAGTCGCCTTTGAGGGTTTGGAGGCTTGCTAGGGCATTAGGGCATCAGGGTTGAGGGTCGGGCTTGGGGCGTCGCTAGGGCCAAGAGGTTTGGGCCTAGGGTTTCAGCTTGCCGTGGACGTTGTACGCTGGTCTTGTGCTGCAACTGGCCTTATCATGATCTTCTATTATTCCTAGTGCCGTGCTTGTGATGACTAGTGGTCCTCTTATCTTGCTATACTTCTGACTATCTGTGTTTTCTGTTCTTGATATTATTTTTGGTCTCATGGTTATTGTTTAGTGATGAGAGTTGTTTACGATTTTATTTATTTTTTTGGGGGGATGGGGGGGCATTTTGTGCATTTTTATTCTTCGTCATAGTGTTGTTGCTCGTGTTTTTGAGTGTAAGGTGTGGACCCCAGACGCCTGCATCGTCCTTACTTGCACATGCATCTGCTTAATCTGCGGGTCACTTTTTGCCCGTTCTGCACTGTCAGAGGCAGTACCAACAACTTGAGCCCACCTCTTTGACTGCACACAGCTTTATGCTGCGGCACCGCTCCAGGGTTTGGGGCTTAGGGTTTAGGATGCTGTTTCCGGAACTGGCGGAAGTTCAAGGCTGCAACCGCAGGTTCGGGTCAGAGTGTCAGGCGTAGGAGATCTTCACTTTGATGCAATCATGTCAAGTATCCAGCGACGAGACTGTATGGTTCATTGAGGCACGAAATAAACAAGTACAGCAAACAAGCTCACACACGAAACGGCCATGCCATTCCTTGCAACCTCAACATCCCTGAGCCAAACGACCTGCACCCCAAAAGCAAACAAGATGCACTAAAGGTAAAACGAAACTCCAGAAAGGAGAAATTAAACCAACAGAACATATAGTAAAAGACGATGATGACGATGATGATACTGATGGTGATGTAAGCTTCAGACAGTCTACGAACAAATCTAGACTTAGACCACTACCACCACCACCACCGCCGCCGCCACAACCACCACCACCCCCATCACCACCCCACCCCACCCCACCCACCCCACCCAACCCCCAGCAAAAGAAACACCGTTAACAGCGAAACCCTAACTCCGTTTTTTTCTGTGTTCACTGTTAAGAGTAGAATGTAGAACGAACAATAACTTCAAAACATATTCCAAACCCAAACAAGACTGGACCCCTGGGCCCTGGCTCTGAGCATCCGCCGCCGCAGCCGCCTGGAGCTGGGCGGAGTCCTCGGAGGCCCTCATGCATGAGTACAGGGTTTGGGGTTTAGGGTTTCGGGGAATAAAAATTAAAAACAAAAAGCCATTGAATATACATATGTACAGAAAGGAGTCCGGAGTGCGGGGGCTTGAAGCGCGGGGCCAAACAACTCGCTATGACTGTGTCAGAAACTACCAAAAATAGCAAAGTAGCCACTCAGGGCAAAGGGGCCAAGACCAAGGTGTCGAAGTCGTTGGGCCAAGCGGTAAAGCCCGCGTTGTACAACCTGGGACCGGGGAATCGCTGAAACCCAGGCACTCTCCCCTCAACCCTCAATTAAACCCTGAACCGCAAACCCTCTCGCAGCTTCAGGGCTCTTTTTGAGGGCTTTTTGTTGTGGGAGGTTTTGTGTTTTTTTTATTTTTTTTTGGGGGGGGAGGGGGGGTTCCCTAAACCCTAAACGCCCCTCAACGGGTTCAAGGATTTTCTAGGATGCTTCAACCTCAGTGGGTTTCCTACAGTACAGGGTTTAGGGTTCAGGGTTTGGGATTAGCTCTTGGCCTTGGGAATACTTAATCCAAGGCAACCCAGGCCTCACTTAGCCGGGAAGCAGCTCCGCGTTTGAGAAGTGCCCGTAGCAGATCAGCAGCTCCTCCCCTGGGGAGCGTTAGGGGGCCTCTTCATACTTCAGGGGTTTACGGCTTAGGGCTTTGGAGCCATTCAAGGTCTGGCTTCTCCAGAAAACCTAAAGAACTAAGTAAGGTGCCCCTTTATCCATAGATGAGGTTGTTTCAAAGGAAGCCCTTAAACAGGGGAGAAGGGTTACTGTCTCAAATCTTAGCATGCTCAGGGTCTGAGGAACAGGGTTTACGAACTCTACTTTCATTCATATTCGGACCCTCTTGGATCTCTAGGGCGGGTCACTTCGAGAGAATGACCTGCTCACCCCTCAACCCTAAACCCTAAACCCCAAACCCCAAACCCCAAACCCCAGACCCCCGGTTTGGGATGACGACGACACGAAGCTCAAAACAGGTCCCTGAGTCCGTGCCCAGTCGGACTACTGTAGGATCCGATTTGGCCGTTAGGCATTAGGGGTTTTTTGGTGTAGAACCCCATCCTGCCCGTTGCTAAATTTCTTTGCCCTCAAAAATTTGAACACCTCAACCCCCACCTCCCCCCAAACAAAATTCTGAAACCGCGAGCCCCCAACCCTCACCCCAGCTGACGAACATCGCACTTCGGGGCCTCGGTCCACCTCGCAGGTCGTCACCTCCGAACCCGGCAGAGACCAGGCTTTTCAAAGGGCACAATAAGAAAAACCTAAAACGAAGAGCAGTAACAACAAGAAGAGTTCTCCTATGGACTTGAGGCCGAAGGTCTGTAAGAGTCCAGCAATATCAGGTTTGGGGGGTTGGTTAGGGCTTCTTTTTCTGTGTCGCCCGGCGTGCCGCACCGCCTAACCCAAACATCGAGAATCTCTCACGCAAGAAACGAACTAGAAGCTTTTAAAAGCATGAACCCTTTCAGGACCTCTTATGAAAAACAGAACAAGGCAGGAGAGGGGGGGGGGGGAGAAGTGCGAGTTTCGAGGAACCCCCCCAGTTGGAGATCTCGGGGCTTGGAGGGGCCGAGCCGCAACCTCTACGTGGTCCTCGTGCTGGACCACCTCACAGTTGGCGTTCCTGTGATCACGCAGGGTCAAAGGCTGACGGATGTGTGGAAGTTGAACTTTGCCTGAGGTTTGGGATTTTGGAGGCTTGTCAGGATGGGTTCTGGGTTAAAAACGTTCTTGAACCTCCGCGATGCGAGGATTTCGGGTTTCAGTGTTTAGGGTTTGGGGCTTGTTGTTGTGTCCCCAACTCCATGCAGGGAGGCTTCATCCAGAGACCCTGTGCCCTGGCTACTAGGGTGGAACCTGGGTACCCTCAACCCTAAACCTCAAGATATTTTAGGCTTGAGGGTTCAGGGTGTCTGGTTCAGCAAACCGGTACCCAACACCCTGTTTCCTCAAAGCCCACGTATCCAGACTCTTACCCCTGAACCCTATACTATAGGGGGGTTAGGATTTAGGGTTTAGGCATTGGGGTTTGGGGTTTAGGGTTTGGAGTTTAGGGTTTACTGTATAGGGACCATAAGGGAATACCATTAGTCATTATTCCAACCCCTATTTTACCCGACTTTGGAGTTTGGAGTTCCAGGGTTCAAAGGCAGCGGGCTGGAAAGCAGGTGTAGATTCAGGACCTTTGGGGTCTTCTTCGAGGTGTACTTCTAGGTGGGTTTAGCAGAAAGGCAACCCACACGGCAACAACCATGAGCAGAGTTGGAAAACCCAAGGTACAAGTGCATGAACCTTATGCTGTTGAACCCTGAAACGCTCAAGCCCTTAACCTGAAAGGAACCCTAAACCCTGAAACCCCTCTCCCCGACGCCCTCAACCCCCAAACCCTACACTCACCACCTCCTGAAAGAGGCCCCGAAACCCTGAACCGCTCCTTCAAATCGGGAGTTTGCCCAGCAAAGGCTCGAGGGCGAGTGGTTGAGGCAGTCCGCTAGCGGGATGAGGATGGTGCCGCCTCCGCAGCAGACGGAGTTCAAGGGGCGCTTAAGGGTTTGGGGGTTCATAGGGTTCCAGGGGTTAGGGTGGCCGTGTTCTTGGAGGGCTCAGGGCCTTTGGGCAGTCGAGGTTGGATCCTGCATTTCTTCAGGGTTCGACAATTCGCTTGTTAGGGTTTAGAGAGTTAGGGGCTTGCAAGGCTTGATGTTGCTGATACTCCTACAACTGAAATCCTAAATCCTAAACCTCCGTACGGTTGACCGTTTCCTCTGTGGGCGCAGGGAGGGGTTGGCCACGACGGGGCGTGTCTTCTCTGGGCGTGCTGAGGAAACCTTCGTCAGCCCTAAACCCCAAACCCTAGACTAGAAGTGGGGTTTAGGGCTTTGCCGAAAAACAGCCACATTCGCCCCCTGTAAACCCTATGAGCCTATGAACAACCCTGGATTCAGAAGCAGAAAGTCCGAACGCAAAGCCTACAGATCCCTAAAGCTTCATCAGCCAAAGTTTAGGACTTAAAGGTTTCTTCGGGTTTAGGGGTTTAGACTTTAGGGCTTTTGGAAGATTTTGGGGGAGTTTAGGGTCGACAAGCCCAAGCTCCGTCCTCCCTGGGCTGCATGCGCCCGCGACTGAACCTGCAGCTCTCCCCACGCACCCCCCCACCGCCCCCCGCCAGAGACTCTCCTAGGGGGGGTTCGGGGGCTTAGGGTTTTAGGGTTTTAGGGTTTTAGGGTTTTAGGGTTTTAGGGTTTTAGGGTTTTAGGGTTTTAGGGTTTTAGGGTTTTAGGGTTTTAGGGTTTTAGGGTTCTAGGGTTTTAGGGTTTTAGGGTTTTAGGGTTTTAGGGTTTTAGGGTTTTAGGGTTTTAGGGCTTTAGGGTTTTTAGGGTTTCAGGGTTTTAGGGTTTTAGGGGCTTTAGGGTTTTAGGGTTCTAGGGGTTTTAGGGTTCTAGGGCTTTAAGGTCTGGCTTGATGAGCAGGGACCCGAAGCGGGCCCAACCCTTAATAATGCCCTTGCAGCTTGAGGGGCGTTGGCGGCGGCCCAGCGCAGGCGGTCCTGTGAACAGCCCGCGCGCACTGCACTCTTTTCAACTGGCTTTGGGCGTATAAGTTGTATAAGGTTAGAGGGGCTTCAGGAACCCTAGACAAACCCGATGCGGGGCTTCTTGCCCTTTGTCGGCTAGAGGATTCGGCGTACTGGTCTTGGTTTGCAGTCTTCCCGAGCAAACATCGGCTTCGGGGAGTGATCCTAAGACTCCGAGCCGTGCACGACAACCCCAGCAGAACCTCCCCAAACCTTTCATGAAGATTTCAGGCCACCGAAGCGCCAAGCCGAAACCAAACCCCCTAGACCCCTAAACTCCTAAAGCCCTAAGCCCCCCATTCTTTAAACCCTAAACCCTGTAAGAACCGAGAAAGCCCCCCCCCCCAAGATCTCCCAAGTGCACCTCACCAGGCTCCCGGGGCCACCAGCTGCGCGTCGACTCGAACAGCCTCTGAGGAGGGAGGAGGCGCCAAGAGGAATATGTAGGGGGTCTTAGGGTTTCTTGCATTGCTAGGGTTTTGAGGGATCTTGAGGGTTTTGTTGTAATTGGAACTCTTGGGCAGCTTGTATTACCTACATGTCGGGATTAAGAGGGGATGATACTTTCTTGATTACTTCAGGCTCCTGTGCTCGGGATTTCGGGTCTGATTGTGTGGTTGTGGATGCCGGTTTTGCTTTCCCGGGTGTTTCAGCTGAACGGTACGGCTAGGCCTGGCACAATAAATGCGGAACCGTTACCCCCTGAAACCCTAAGACCCTAAACCACTCCGAACCCCCCCCCGCCCCAAGACCCCAAAAAACAACCGTAAAGGCATCTTTTACACTGAAAAAAGCGAGAACGAAACCCGAAATGATAAGCCCCGTCGTTAGGGCTCTGGAGTGGCTTGGCTACGGTACCCTACTTCTGAACTCAAAGAAACGTTTCTTACAATGGGTTCAGGGCCTCAGGGCTTAAGCGCAAGTGACAAAGTCCTGAAATAAGCCCAGAACCTAGCACCTGGTCCGAAGTTTAAGCTGCCAGAAGGCCTCTGCAACGTCTGGATGCCCTCGGCGCCGGCGAGACCACACTGAACGGGCTCGTTCAGGGTTGCGTGTTTAAGGTTGGCGACGGGGGGGTGGGGTACAACAACCAACCAAACGACTTGTTTGCTCTTAAGGTTGCACCCTTGGATTCTGGCAGACGGGTGCCAGAAGAAGGCTGTATTGGGGGAACCTTCTGAGGGTACCTTCGGGAACCCTTGAGTTGATAAAGGCTGCAAAATACCATCGGTCTGCCCCTAAGCCAATCGACTTTCTATGCGTGTCCATTTAATTCCGCAGCGCTCAATCCGATTTTAAGTCCTAAGCCCTGAGCCCCAAACCAGAGAACCTCAACCCTTAACCCTGTACCCTGAACCCTAAACCCAAAACCCTGAACCCTAAACCCCTTCGTGGAGGAAGCCTTCCACGCCAAAAACACAAAAAACCAAGTAAAAAACAAACTAAACCCCAAACCCTAACCCTAACGCCGAAACCCCAAACCCTAAACTCCCCAAACCCCCTTTCAAAACAGCGAAACAAGTGACGCCCGCCTTGGCTTCGCCAAGGAGGTCGACGCCCGTCCCGTTGTAGATCCAGGGGCGGTCCTCCAGCTTGGGGCTTTGGGCGGGTTTTGGGGTTAGGGTTTAGGGTTGGGCGCGGGGGCTTAGGGCTTGGTGTTTCGGGATGTGGGGTTTGGGGTGGGGGAGGGGGAGTGGGGGGGGCGGGGGAGGTTTCTGGGGTTTAGGGTTTAGGGTTGAGTGTGGCTGTGTTAGGGATAGCGGGGTTTTGGCAATTGAGGGGTTTAGGAGTTTACGGGGCTTTGGTTTAGGCATCAGCGGAGGGTTCGGGGTTTTATGGGTTGGGGGCTGTGGGGTTCAGGGAACTAAGGTTCGGCGGTCAGGGTTTTTTGGGGCTGAAAACTGGGGCTTAGGGTTTCGACGTTTCAAACTCTAAGACCCTTAACTCTGAGAGGGTGTTGCAGCGCCAACGAAAAAACAAAGACCTAGCCCCAACTGAAAATGCCCAGGCGTCAACACAAAACCCTCCTCCCCGACTAAATGGAGCATGCAAGAATGTACAACTGCTCTTTGTTTTCGCTCGCCACGCCCCAGCGTCCAGCGTAGGTCAGATCAGCACCTCGGATTGGCCAAGCAGAGGCACCAAAGGACATCAGTTCCGGAGATTATCAGGTCTTAGAACACAAAAGCGACGTCCTTTGCTTTTGCATTCACCCAGAGCTGTCCCAAACCAAAAGACGTCAGTTTTGGAGCTCTTCATGCCTGAAAGGACGAAAGCCACGTCCTTTGACCAGAGGACCAGAGAACCAGAGGTCAGAGGACCAGAGGTCAGAGGACGAGGTCAGAGGACCAGAGCCAGAGGTCAGAGGAGCCAAGAGAAGCAGAGGACCACAAAAGACACAGCAATTTGCCCCTTACCAACCAACACGCCCCACCCCCCCCTCTCCCAAACCAAAGGACGTCAGTTTTTAGCAGACACCACAAAAGCCACGTCTTTTGCTTCCCTACCCCCCCCCCGCCAGCCCCCCCTTCCCCCCCCCCAAACCCAAGAACGTCAGTTTTGGAGCTCTTCAGGCGGGAGACCGCAAAAGCCACGTCCTTTGCCTAGGCTCTCCGAATGAAGTGTTGGAGCTTTCAGGCGTTAGAGCACAAAAGCGATGTCCCAAACTTTTACAGTCACCTGCACCCTCCCTCTGCCAACGAAGGGTCTCTCTACCAACCACCTCCTCTATTTCTCAACCGTGTTTGCCTGCTGCTTTCTTTCTTCTGACAAGCTGCAGCTGCATCTTCTCGATTCCGCTGTAGCAGCCCAGACCTCAACCCCATCACAAGCCTCATGTCGGACAGCCCCACGCCAGTCCTGTTGGCATGGGCCGCAAAGGTCGAAGCATCTGTGAACAAGCACGAACCATACTCTTCGAACGCTGTGTGGAGGACTGCAATCGCGGACTTGCTCAGATGCATCTGTGTTGGGGCACGGCCATCAACATCCGTGAGCAGAACTGTCTTTCCGTCAGAGGTTCGGCCGCTGAAGTGACTCTGGAATGCCTCCTGAAAGACCTCTTGGCACAAACGGTCAAACGGCTGCTTCGGAACGCAGAGTTGGACGGCCTTCCAAGCCTTAGGAACACTCCTGTCCTTGACGCTCGCCTTGCTTTCACCCTTCGTCCTGGGCCCGCTGACGGCGACAGATAACCAGGGAACTTGCCAGTGATCCTTGGTCAACTACACAACGGAACACCTGTGGAAACTGAACATGTCACTTGTGATAAAAACGTCAGTGAAAAAACTCAAAAAGCACTCGGCGCCCATTGACCTCACGCAACCAAGTTGCTCAGGAGTAATGTATCCCATTGCCGGCGGCGGTGGCGGTAGACGCCCTCGCCCTCGCGACGCGGCCGTGCTTGATCTCAGTCTGGCGGCGACGCTTGGAGTCCTTGACGCTTCCATCGGCCGTAAAACCATACGAATCCGCACGAGGCCTGCTCACTCTTGTCAGGGTGACGCAGGCACCGGGGCCTACCTTAATCTACCGCTGAGGGGGCACTGCGCCCCCTACCCTTCAAGGTTTTGCGAGAAGCGCCAGCTTGTTGTGCACCGACAGGCTTGCACGGCTTGCGTGCCAGTGCTTTCCACGTGTGGAAAGCAGAAGTGGAGCAACATTTGCGACATGAAACCAAATCGTTTTTACTATCAAGAAACAAGTCATGCTGCGAAGAAATTTTAGAAATCTCCAGGCACAAAGCTTGCCTCTTACGGTCAGCCTCCTGAGAGTTGCCGGTGCAAAGTTGCGTGTAAATCTGAGTTTTCCAATCCATGCGTCCACTTTTGCACTGCCACTTCTTAGTGCAAACAGTACAGCATATGCAGCCTTTAACATCGCCATTCCAGGTAAGTGTGTGCCCACCAGGTTTCTTATCTTCCCACTCCTTCATGAGAAGCTCACGCGTCTTGTTGCAGCGGCTGAGCGAAGCCGGAGTAGCACGTACTTGGCTGAGATCATTCCCGCGACAAGAAGATTGCATGAGGCGCGAACGCTGCCTAGCAACACAAACGCGTTTGCAAACACTGCACTGCAGTTTGTCATTAGAAAGTCTAACCAGCTGGTGCAGAAGAAAGGCGGTTTTATCGCATGTTTCTTCAACAGGAACATCTTCCGAATCTTGGGCAAGTCGATTGTCAGTCTGCGGAGGGCGGTCAGGCGCATCACGCGCACTTTGCGAAGCCACTGCAAGGCAACATTGCACAAGGATATCAAGCATCATCTGCTGTATGCGCCTGACATGCGGTTTCCACACCTCAGCACCTGTTTCAGGCAAAAGCCCACAGACCGACAAGCAAACAGGCATGCTGTCGGGGGAACTGGGAAGTTCTGCAAGCACAGGAGCACGGAGGTATTGCCATTGCGGGCAGACCCACCAGCGGTGGAACACGGTCTCGCCCGAGGAACAGGAACAAAACGGGCATGTCCCAGAGGAAGCACCTCGGGATTTTTGTCGCTCCCTTCTTTCGGTTGCATTGACGGCACCGGATAAAATTGCACGAAGGCAAGCTCTCTGATATTCAGTAAGATGAGCTTTGTCATTATGCAATTGCATGGAAACACCACGGTCAATACCGTGTTGTATGCCAGACATGTCCTTGCGGCGTGAAGCAGCTTCCCGCCACTCACGCCTGCGTATTGCATCACGCAGCTCATGCTGAACCAGGTCGTTGCCGGCATCCCCACTGCGAGGGCACGTCGGCAGGGGCAAAGATTTGTTGCTGTGAGTTTTAACTCTGCGGAGTTGAGGCCAGGACCAGCGGCAAGAGGCAAAAAGTTTCCTAATCCTAGTGACGGGCCCTATAACCTGCAAAGAACGCCTACCTAGATCCCTGGTGAGATTCCAGGAGGAATGTGCAAGTTCAGAAGCTTCGCCATTTTTGGCGAGCATGCGCAAGAGCGCTTGGAATGCGCTGTGCTCCGTGACCTGAACTGGGTCAACCTTGTGGCCTTTTAAGAAAAGGGTGAAAGCAATTTCTGCACAAGACAAGTTTCCGGCTCCACGCCAGATACCCTGAAGGGCTGAGCGACGAAGCGAGTTAAGTACATCTGCAGGCAGACTACGACCAGCTTGGCCGTAGATGAGGGGAGAAAGGGCTCCAATGCCAGCACAAGTTTCTTTACTTTCAAAATCAAGCGGTGCGTACCTCAAGCGATTAAGCCTTTTCCTAGTCTTATTAGCAATTTTTAGAGCTTTGGAAGTTTTGCCAGTGCTTCCTTTCTTCGCCTGCGCCATGACCAGAGTCACACCAAGCATGTCAACGTTACTCTTAACGGCCAGCTTGGAGCCATTAATGGTAACGTTGGCAAGTTTCTTTCGCTGCGGGAGCGACACGGCAAAGCAATGGCTTTTCTCAACACTGATCTCTTGGCCCGAAAGATGAGCGTACTCAGCGGTGATGTCGACCACCCTTTGCACGCCAGCAACAGAACGAGCCGTCGCATGTATGTCGTCAGCATATCCGCCAGGCTTAGCTTCCGACTCAGCACAAGATTCATTGGTCACGGCATGAAGCCATAGAGTTACTAAAGAGTTAAGCAGCACAACTGAGACCCCACAGCCTTGTAGGATCCCGTTCGTACTAGCCCATCCTACAGCATTTTTTCCTAACTTCCATCGACGCCTAAGGGATGAATACATCTCTTGGAGCGGCAACAAGATACGGCTTGACAGCCCCATTTCCTGAAGAATGCCAAACAGAATCCCGTGCGGAATAAGATCGAAGCATTTCTTGAAGTCAAAACTGACGCCGTAAAGGGGTTCATCGGCTAAGATGGCCTTCTCAACACGTGCAGCAAGGGTCCAAAAGATGTCTTCGGTTCCACAGCCTTTGCGAAAGCCTTTGGCACCAGGATGGATCCAAGCCTCCTGCCAGGTCAGCAGTTGTTTAACATCTATACATCGGCCGTAAAACCAGCCGGATCCCAAAAGTAGAAGTGGCTTGTCTGAGCGACGGGGCACACGTCCCCCCCCCTCTCTGGAAGGCTCCCTCAACCGATCCCCATACGGGGAAAGTCTCGCGAGCCCGAAGGAAGCTCTCTGTTCTGAACTCCCTGAACTTGGAAGAAATATCGAGCAACAATACTGATATTGTCTTCGGAGTAGAGGCCTGGGACACAGAGCCCTTCGCGAGCCTTTGCAATGCCTTTCTCATCAAACCGCAAGCTTTTGGATCCGGTGGCACTTCTGTGAATGCCCGCAAAACCGGGGAGCTCGTTGGCAACCTTAACGGCAGACTCCCAGTTCTTGTCTCGTAGCTGCGATTGGTGAATAAGGGCCAGGGGGAGCTGTACTGGCTGCGCTCTCCACTTCTCTTTTGCAACAACACCATCGGGACCTGAACGACGTAGCACGTTCAGCAGCTGAGAGGAGGGGATCTTGATGATGCCCTGAAGGACAGTATTGCGCACGAAAACTGGGTAGCACTCAGACACAATTTGTTCAGAGAACGCCGCATGAACAATTTGATTGAACGCATAGCGTGGGTTTTTATCGACCTCTTGTTGCATGCAAGGATCGATATGACTGATCTCAATGTCGACAGCAACCTCAACGGGGGGAACGGGAGCTTCAAACTGAGCATCGGGCGTGGTTTCAGCGAACTCAACAGGCGTTCCCAGCGACACTAGGAAAGTGGGCTTGGGTGTGGTAACTCCAGAGTTCGGGTCACGCAGCGCCACAAGGCGTTCAACGGATTTAACACCGCGGGATTGCAAGGTCGAACGAACCTTGGGGGTCTGTGGGATTAGCATTGCCAAAGGCGAATTACTGGTGATGCCAAGGTAACTTTCGTAGTCACCAACACCGGCCAAAAAGACGCCTTTGGCAGTAGAATGGGCAAGCTTAATGGGGATGACTGCAACAGGGTTCTTGGAAGCGTCCACAAAAATGGAATCAGGACGTGGTACGAGATCGGTCCAAGGAGTTCTGGTGGAAAACTTGGCCTTGCCTTTGCCTTTCCCGGCGCCTTTGCCTCCCACAGATGGGCTGGGGGAGCTGGAAGGGACAGGGGTGTCGTGTATAAGCCTGCCAAGGTCAAATAGCAGGTTGGCTTGAAGTAGTTCTTGCGCTTTCTGTTTGCGAGCCGAGTCTTGAAGGAGAGTCTTGGCCGCCTGTTTGTGCCACTGCTGGGTCATGCCTAGTCTGGTCATGATATCTTGCAGCTCACGCATGGAGATGTTGCCTGTCAAGGCATGGGCAATGCGATTGAGCATGGCACGAGAAGGGGACCAACAGTATGCATGGTGCATACGGGCACACATGTGGAGGAAGACAATCCGAACAGGCTTGACACAGTGAAAAAATGCAGCGAGAAAAGACTTGGTCTGACCTGTGCATGTCAAACGCTGGCGGCGGCAGGCAAAACGGCTTAACCTATACCTACGCCCCCCAACAACCCGGCAGCGGATCAAGGCAGAGTTGCGGCGCTTGAAACAGTGGTACAGGCCATGACTGAGGCTTGTGGTACAAAGGTCACTGCTCAAGAGCTGGTGTGCGACACAAGTCAGGAGGCACAGCAAGAGATGCATGTAGATCTGACTCGTACTTGGCAGGTGGAACCTGTTGCAGACTGACTGTGTGCAGGAGTTCAGCACTGGATTCATGGACATGATCAAGAACAACACAGCTGGGACGCAGACCTGAATCAAGCGCTTTGCAACAGCGGTAAGTAGATTTGAAAGCTTATGGTCCAATTCTGAGCGGCTTGGTAGGGTCAGGTTAGGTGCCAGACCCATCCAGACTCCACGGTGACTGCGGTCAGGACGTGCGCTCAAGGGAGTCCGCGGGGAGGCGGTGTAGTTGGCCCAGTCACCCCAAGCACTGCCGGTCAAACCACCCTTCGCACGCACAACGCTCTGCAACACGCTCGTTAAAAACACCCCAACATACCCTAACTGAAGGCAATCGCGAATGCTATGTTTCGACAGGTGCATGCTGTGACTTGTCCTGAAAGAACATGCGTTGAAGGTGTAGTGGCAGGTCAACATGTAGACCAACACCTTGGAGCAAAAGAAGGAAAACTGTGAACTCCACCCCCAGAGCGCAGTCACCCACGGTGTCCGGGGCGACACGTTCCCCCGACTCCACTGTGAGCCGGCGGGTTGCCACGCCGAAGGCCTCTCATTGAGAGAGTCGCGAAAGAATATCCTGAAAAGACAGTCATCGATATGGTAACCATGCCCAGACTGCAAAGAAATGCGAGCATCCAGTGGAAAAAACCCAAGCTGTATTGCACTGCTGGCATATACCGCAAGAAGTCATGTTTGGAATGCAAAGATCTGACATAGAACTCCGTACCGGCGGTGCGCT